GGCTGTTTATGTCCCTTGTTTCCCTTAGTTTTTCTTTCTTTCTTTTTTTTTTTGAGTTGGAGCCTCACTCTGTCACCCAGACTGGAGTGCAGTGGCCGCTCCCGGCCACCGCAGCCTCAACCTGCTGGGCTCTGGCAATCCTTCCACTCAGCCTTCCAAGTAGCTGGAACTACAGGTACATGCTACCACGCCCGGCTGATTTTTTGATTTATTGTAGGGATGAGGTCTCGCTTGCCCAGGCGGGTCTCGAACCCGCGGGCTCAGGCAATCCACTCACCTCAGTCTCCCAAAGGCGCGGATTACAGGCTGAGCCACCGAGCCCGGCTTCCCTTAGTTTTTCAGTGTTGGTTACTGTGGTTTAATGGAGATGCTCGAGACCTGAATTCTAATTCCATTTCTGTCATTCACAGGTTGTATGACCTTTGGCCATTTGAGCTTTCCCGGGCCTCATCTTCTTCAACCATAAAATAGACGTGTTAAGTAGATCAGAAGTCATAACCTGACAGCTACCAAACTACATGCAGTCTGCAGAAAGGTTAATTTACTCCCCCCAGTAATGACCTTTAGAATGCCTCTTTAAAAGGCTGAATTAGTTTACCAACATTAAGAATAAAAAACTGGGTATGTCACAAAAACTCTAAATTTCAGGCATTGTGAACAATAAGGAATCACTTGACCAGCATCCCAAAACTCCTATAGGTAATGAGTATTCAACAAAAAATCCCCCAACTCCCTTCATCTCCTTGTCCCAGCTGGCATTAGTTTGTGTTATCTGTCTGGCCACTGAGAGCATTTAAACTTTGGCCATGGTGGTAGCCAGGTTCCAAGATGGCCCTTGACAATTCTCATGCCTTTGTGTAGTTCCCTCCAACAGTGAAAAGGGTTGACCTGTGTAACCAATAAGATACTGTGAAATAATGAGGTCTGACTTTGTCACAATAGACTGCAGCTTCTGCCCTGCTCTCTTGGGATCACTTAGTCTGTGGGAACGAGCACCAGGTCCTGAGGACACTTACACAACCCTATGGAGAGGTCCATGTTGCAGGCAACTGAGGCTTCCTGCCAATAACTTGCCATGAAAATCAGCTATCTTAATCCTTCAGATGACTAAAGCGCCAGCATGCAACCTCGTGAGAGACTCTAAGCCAGAACCACCCAGAAGCTGCTCTGGTTCTGACCCTCAAAAAAAAAATATATATATTTTTTAAGGTGATAAGTTTTAGAGTAATTTGTTATACACCAATATACACTAATAAAGTCACTGTTTCCTTGACCTCTTTTATATTAAATTAGGGCAATGCCTTTATTTTAGAATCATAGTCACAGAATTTTAGAATGCTCAAAGGTACCGCAGTCAAGTTTACATTGGATAGGGAATTTTCTATTTCTGGTCAGAAAATTTTAACTCCTTGTATTTAATTTCTGTGTAAGTTCTGTAAATTCCTTTTTTTTTTTTGTTTAGTTGGAGTCTCACTCTGTTGCCCAGGCTGGAGTACAGTGGCACGCTCCCAGCCACCACAGCCTCGACCTGCTGGGCTGCGGCGATCCTTCTGCCTCAGCCTTCCTAGTAGCCAGAACTACAAGTGCGCACTACCACACCCGGCTAATTTTTGATTTATTGTAGAGATGAGGCCTCACCAAGTTGCCTGGGTAGGTCTTGACCCGCAGGCTCAGGCAATCCATTCGCCTCGGCCTCCCAAAGTGCTGGGATTACAGGCTGAGCCACTGAGCCTGGCCAAGTTCCTCTTTTAACTGTGACAGAGTCATCCCTTCCTTAACAGTCCCATCACCACCATCCTGCTCTTCTGGCTGAACTCCTCTGCTGATTTTCTAGTTCTTCTTGTTTCCTAACTAGAGTTCCCCTCAAAGCTCTGTCCCTGAATGATTTTTTCTTAAGTAGTAGTTGAAAAACTGGTAACGTAAAGATGAGGCAATTGAGGAGGGGGGAGGAGGGAGGAGGAGCTGGTTTTGCGAGCAAAGAGATGATCAAGAATTCAAGTTTTAGCCAAGCTACAGAAGAATGCTAGCAGAGATACCCAGAGGACAGGATGCTTTGGGAATCTTGTTTTACCAAGGCTGATTTGTGAGCAGAGGCACAAGGTAAGGCCTTGAGAGTAGATGAACTCACACAGAAAAGCATAGTTCCTTAGCTGGGCATGGTGGCGTGTGCCTGTAGTTCCAGCTACTTGGAAGGTGAGGCAGAAGGATCACCTGAGCCTAGCAGGTTGAGGCTGCGGTGGCCAAGAGTATGCCACTGCTTTCTAGCCTGGGTGACAGAGTGAGACTCCAACTCAAAAAAAAAGAAAAAAAAGAAAAGAAAAGCACAGTTCTTGGGCTAAAACCTAAGGTCATTTTACTCAATCTCATCTTTGTCAGTGTCTATCAGAAGCTTTAGAAATTTCTCATAAATTCTCATGGTCATTACTATAGTCAAAATGAGTATTTAGGCTGGGCGCAGTGGCTCACACCTGTAATCCCAGCACTCTGGGAGGCCAAGGCGGGAGGATCACTTAAGCCCAAGAGTTTGAGAACAGCTGGGTGTGTTAACGGGCACCTGTAGTTCCTGCTACTCAGGAGGTTAAGGAGGAAGGATCACCTGAGGCCAGGAGGCGGAGGCTGCAGTGAGCCATGATCCTGTGACTGTACTCCAGCATGGGCAATAGAGTGAAGACCTGACTGAAAACAAAAAAACCTAATGTTTGTTCTAACTGGAAGAATCAAATGACTGGATTCATAAGCAACAGTATGGAAACAGTGATCAAAAGGAAAATTTAGTATATAATCAAGTTAAAATACTAATTATAAAATTCATAACCTCAATCTCATATACTTAATGACATAAAATTATTTATGCTGCATATTTAGGCAAAAAGGTAGTCAGTTCCATAAATAAGTTTTCTTTTTAGAGAGCCAAACTCAATTTGTGTTTTTAAAGAAATAGGATCTTGCTCTGTTACCCAGGTTGGAGTACAGTGGCACGATCCTGACTCACTATAGCCTTCACCCCCTGGGCTCAAGTAATCATTCTGCTTCAGCCTCCCAAGTAGCTGGGACTACAGGTATAAACCACCATACCTGGCTAATATTTTTTTTTTTTTGAGAGACCAGGTCTTACTATGTTGCCCAGGTCTCCAATTCCTGGAATCAAGCAGTCCTCCCACCTCGGCCTCCCAAAGTGCTGGGATTATAGGTATGAACCACTGTGCCCGGCCCCAAACCCAGTTTTTACAACTTTTCTGAATACCAGGGAAGCTTTCCCCCAGTACTGTATATGTACTTTAACACTTACCACATATATTATAATACTCTCATTTCTTTCTCTAGTACAGGCTTTATATTCATCACAGTTGACAGTTACTAACTTCTCATCCTAAACTCCCATTATCATTTTGTTTTACTGCAGTTAAATGTACAAACTTTAATAAATTTTTGTAAATATGTACACCCAGGTAACCATCGCTCCAATCAAGTTACAAATGTTTACATGGATCCAGAAAGTTCCTTCCAAGTCAATCACCTGTTCCCACAGACAACCGTTGTTTAGACGTCTATAACCATACATTGGTTTTGCCTTTGAACTTCATATAAATGAAATTTTATATATATATATTTATATACCTGATTTCTCACACTCAGTACAACGTTTTTGAGATTCATCTGTTTTATTGGGTTTATCAGTGGTTCATTCTTTTATTATTGAGTAGTATCACACTGTTTGACAATTTACAAATGGCCTGATGGCTTTTTGCCTTTCCACCTTGGATTGCAGGGCCAGGTACTCAATAAATACTACTTAAGCAAATATATATGCATGCGTCCTTCCTATCACAAACAATTATATATACATATGCTCATTATAAGGTAGGTCATGGATCTGAATTCCAAAAGAAGGCTTTTCTCTGTGGTCCACCCATGGTTCAGGTCTTTTCCCCAAGAGATCTCTAAGGAAATTTACCAGCAACTCCTTGATCCACACCTGGAAGGAGCAGTGCTAACAAGGAACAATAATTGAGAGCTAAACATGTACCAGACACTGGCCTAAGCATTCCAATGTATTAACACATTTAATCCTAACAGTACCTATACTTATGGTATAGGTACTGTTAGCAGCCCCTTTTCTCAGAGGAGAAAGTTAGGATAAATCAACAACTTGCCACAGGACTAGAAAATGGTGGAGCTTAGAGCCAGGATTTTTACTCAGGAAATCAGCTCCAGGGCTTGTACCACTAGCCCCTAACACCCTGCGTATAGGTAGCTGGAATTCTCTACCAAGAAAATGTGGATAGTTATGGAGATAACACTCCACACTGCTAATGTGTGCAATGAGGAGGGAAGATCCAAAGGTGCTGGTAAGATGGGTTTGATAAAACTCATCCCTAGGTATCTGGAGTCTTTAAACCGTGGAAGAAAGGGAAAACTAGCCCAGTTTAGTCCTGTCGTTTCCAAAACATATGGGGATCTGTCCTTTAGAAGTTCCAGTTCATCTCGTCCAAACTCAAGTCTCATTAAAACATAAATGAATATTGAGTCTGTCTCACCCAACAGAGCTTGAACAAGCCAAACGCTGTGCACTTGGTTATGAAGTCCAGGAGCGTCCACCACCTTGGGCAAATTACCCCACTTCTCTGGGTTTCAGTTTCTTCAGTTACAAAATGAACTGGGTTCACAAGGTCCTACTGAAGTCTAAAATAATAGAAAACTTCCTATTGAAGTCTTTTCTTACCAAAACACTGTTCCATAGCTATCTTTTTTTTTTTTTTTTTTTTGAGTGGGAGTCTC